TATAGTTATAGAAATTATACCGGATTATTTGCTGCAACACCACCATCAATAAGATTGAATTCCCAAACGTTCCCTTCATTATCGTTGTTATTAAAATGGTAGGCAGGAAGATAAGTTGGAGCTGCAGATGTGCTAATGCATATGTCTGATAGTCTTGCATTCAGAAAGGGGTACTGTTTCGCCTGCATTGATATACAATATTATTTTAGACACTATATTTCTCCAACTTTGTCAACTCCTCAAATAAAAAATAGTAGTATCTTACAAGTTATAACCAACTTGGTACTGAATGTGTGTGTGTGGTGTGAGAGAGAGAGAGAGAGGAGAGAGTGAAACCTCATAAGTGGAGAAAACAGTTGGCTGCAAAGTCTTGATATCGAAAGTAGGAATGACAACATTGGTTAAGGTTTGATGCAATCGAGTCTCTCCTAGTTTCTCCCTTACAACTTGATGAAGATACTTCCCATCATACTTGGGTCCTGCTAATAAGTTCAATCTGTTTCTATGTGATGCAAACATGCCCCTGCCATGGCAGCAATTCAAGCTACCATTACAACTTTCGCCTTTTTCATTTTTGAAAAAATGAAGCAAGAAGAACATAAGAGTAGGATCCATGTGGCGTTGGGACGCATTTGAGGTATATTGCATGTCTATTTTTTATCAATGAATTACATTTACTCAACCAAAAGAAAAAAAAAGAAGGCAAAAAAACATATCATGATTACCTTTTCTGTGGAAAAATTTTTGGACAATTTTCGACATAAAAGGGCTTGATATCTTTAGCAGCAAATATAGGACGATTATTTTCATCTGGAGCTGTTAACATGGCAGTCACAAGGCCACCAGTACTGGTTCCTGCAATCACGTCAAAGTAATCTGCAAGTCTTGCATCCTCACCATCCAACTCCTGATCCAAAATAACATTATTTGAAGTTAATTAGTTAATCTTTCTGCATTTCGTTTTTTTTTATATGATGTAACTCTGTGGACCTTCATAATTTGAAGATGCACCCAATGTCCAAAACCCACACTCATAGAATACCCTATGCACACTTCACCAATTAATGTGCGATCAGGTGATCACATATGATATTTGTGCAATTTTTACATGAAATCATGAATGAAGATCTCTCTCCCTCACACACACACAGACATATGCACGTGCACACTACTATGTCAGTAGAAAATAAAACTAACCTGAAGTTGGGACTCAAGGTAAGCAAGGATAGTGCCAGGGATGATCCCTCTGATACCACCTCCATCAATGCTGAGAATGGTGATTAGGTTTCCGTAAGTTGGGGGCTGAGATGAGAGTCTCTCCATTTGAAACTGATTGTAATAATGGACTATTGTTAGCCTATGAGATTAGAGAGCTCAAGCTTTCGTGGTTTGGTTTTCCAACAAAGTTAATCTATTTATAGCCCTCAACATGCATGGAAGAAACTTCCTTGCACTCTCTTTCATCGGCTATGTAGAGCAATTCGTGATTATATTGTTAAGAGCAATGTTATTGATAAATGTTGAAAACTGAAAAATATAATAAACATAATCTAGCTAGGTTGGCGTTTACATCATCCATTCCAAATAACACCTTAAACTCTATTGATATTTTTCCTTGTCAATTGAAGAAGATAACAACTAACTGTCGTGGGATGACTTTGTTTCAAATGTTTATGATAGTTGGCAGGCCCTCATTAGTTTGAATTATACAACTATTCAGGCAAGAGTTCTAGTAAAGAGAGATTCATTCATGAAACGTTAAAATCACAACTAAATTTACAGTATTTCTCATGTGATGGGATAACTTTGTTTCAAATGCTTGTGATTGTTGGCAGCTAGGCCGTCATTAATTTGAATTATACAACTATTCATGCCAGGGTTCTAAGAAAGGGACCTATATCTTAAGAAGGAAACTAAATTTACGTTTCTCATGTGGTGGGTAGCTAGGCCCTCATTAATTTGAATTATATAACTATTCAGACAAGAGTTCTAAGAAAGAGAGCTATATCCTAAGAGGAAAATTATGTTTATCTTTTTTGCAGTCGTGGAATAACTTTGTTTCAAGTGTATATGATAGCGATTGGTAGATCATCATTAATTTGAATTATAAAACTATTCAGCCAAGGGTTATAGTGAAGAGACTCATTCATTACACGTTAAAATCACAAATTAATGAAGCTATATCCTAAGAGGGAAACTATATATATTTACATTGTTGCCGTTCTTTAACGTGACATGGTATCATAGTTGTTGGAGATATTTCCTCTTCAAAATTACTATTTTCCCCCCTTTTCCGATTTCTAAAATTTCAAAATTTATCCCCACATTATCAACCTATCTATGATGACATATAGCCAAGTTTGTATTGTATCAAGTTTGTGTTGTGCATTTGTTTATACATACCCATGTTTTGTTTAGCTGGACTAATATTTATTGACGGGTTTAGCAAGGTCACCAATATATTACGTAACCTCTCTATTCCAACACCAAACCATCAAAGAGGTAGGTAGCTTGGTGAAATCACTTACATCTTCCAAAATTAAACTGCAGGAAGTGTGTTCTTATCCCTTCTAAATATTTGTTAGTTGACAAACCACGGTATCTATGAATTGCTTACGCAGTCAGAGGCTTTCTATAATAAATCTCATGGTATGTGAAGGTTACCGTTGAGCTCCGCAGGCGGCTTATGGGTTTTAAAAGAGTTAAAAAATAATGATAATAACTTCCATGTGTGGCTAAACAAGTAAAAATGAAATTTACTTGGTTTGTGAGAGATTCAACACAAATTGCTGCTAGGTTTATGGCAGATTCCTCTAGAATTAACAAAGTCAAACAGAATTTCAGATAACAATCTCTGAAATTCTCCCAAGAACAGAATGAAGAAACGTTTGTTTTGTATATATCTAAATTGAAAAATCTATACAAGTATCTATAATACCTTAGTGAGGAGACACAACTCTTAGGCCAAAGAGATGTAAAAAGGAGACACAATTTTTGGGCCAAAGGAGATGTATAGAGGAGACACAACTTTTGGGCCAAAAAATATTTAGCCATTAATTAATACATAATTATTTAATTAGTTAAAGGTTTCAAGCCCAAGTGCCCATCTTTTGAATTTAAAGATTATTTTATTTAAAGTCTAATCAAGGTCTATTGATTTGAAATATTTGGAGCTTCTCTCTAAATCTTTCCACCATCCAAATTTATAAAAGTTTGTGTGTTTCTGCTTTTAAACCTTTACATTTCCTTTCAACTTTTTCAACGTGGAATTTTTATATTACTAACTATCTCTAACATATGATGCATTCTGCGTGTAAAACGTGTAACTAAGCAACGTGCACAACTGAATCAACAAAGTCATTGTTGATCAGTTTGCTCAAGAATTATGTTAGAATGATTAAGAAATAAGACCGAAAAGAGGGACTAAAATGACGTGGTGTTAACGCAATAATGCTTTTGGTTAAATTTTCACTCATTCAAATGAAAGTGGGATAAGTTTAGACTAACCAAACAACTAGACTAAATGATATGACATTAATTAGTTAACTAGTAAAGGATAATGCTAAAATTAGGGGTGTCAAACGTGTTAAGTTAAATAATTACGTGTTTGGTTAAACGGATGACGGGTGAAAAATATGTAAACTCATACACGATTCGTTTCATAAAAGGGTGAAAAACCTCAACACGAACACGAATCATTTAATAAATGGGTAATACGATACGACTCATTTAATCTGTTTAGTTTTAATTTATTATTATATTTTTTGTGACTATCACTAAATTAAAAAAAAAATGTGGCCATCACTAAAAATAATATATATTCTGTGGTTGTCATTAAAAAAAATCTGCTTAATTTTTAAAAATAATTATTAATTTATTATTATATTAATTTTATTTAAACAGGTAAACGGGTTGATATGACTCATCCGAACATGACCCATTTATTAAACGTGTTAGACTGGTTAACACGTTTATCACCCAAACCCGTTAAAATTTCATCTAAATTCACTTAATTCATATAATTGTGTCGTGTTAAACTTTGACCGTCCTAGCTAGAATGATTAAAAATAGAACTGAAAAAGGGACCAAATAATGTTAGAATAATTAGAAAAGGATATTGTTGGACTCATAAAAAAAAAAAAAAGAACCAAATGATATTACTGTGATAGTCATAAAAAACCAAAAAGAACCAAAGTCTCTCTCTTTCACACTATCAACACAACATCATCTGACCGTTTCTTCTGTGAATCTATCATTATTTACTAATAAAACACATGCAACTTAATGTACGTTTATCTTTTTTTTTCTATTCATTAAGGGAACACCAGTTTTATATGTTCACTTTTTTTAATTACACATGCGTGATGTTTTTTTCAAGTACCAAAGGGAAGTTTTGAAACTCCTGCCAAATTCTAGGACTCTTGAGTAACTCGAGTTTATTGCTGGAGTGCGCATGAGTTTGCGAATATTCAAGTTGAATCTGAGATGACCCAAGCTCAACTTCTCAACAAATCAAATTTTTTCATAGCTTAATAATTATTTTCGAAATAATCAGTTTCTCAATAAAATTCTTATAAAATCAGGGTAATATTAAGTATAAAACCAAACCTAGAAATTCAAACTCATGCATGGTATGTTATAGGGTCATTTACTTCTTGTCTTTCAAGACAAGAAACTCTTACAAGCCTTTCAAGACTGTCTTTTGTTTTTTGGTGAATCACACAAATTCATTGAATCAAATGATATGCAAATGAAAAGGTTCGGAAGTGTGGGCGTGTGTTTGTATATGAGAGAGAGACAGAGAGAGATCAATGAAACTATTATGCTTTTTCTGGGGGGTCAAAGGTCCCCATGAGCCCTCCCTTAAGTAGACAATGGTTGCACTAGTGTCACCAAGGCTTTGAGTCGAGATATCACACGTTAAAGTTTGTTGATGTGGGCAAATTCTCACCGTTCAAAGAGAAATGAAAATCTATAAATATTTTCTAATTAAAGAACGGATATCTTTCGATCGCATAGCATGTTTTACAAATTTGTGCAAAGAATAAAAAATAGTTAAATTTGACGACAAATATGAGAAGTAAACGGGCATATGGTCAAGGGATAACAATGTGATGCACAACATTGAGGCTTGACGCTTGAGCCTTGTTGGTCAGTGCCTTGCTGGTCAGTGGCGATCTTAACTCTCGAAGTCTCCTTTCATTGCAAAGTAGTCTGGCAAACCTGTGAGAGGTAAAAACATAATATTTTAAACTTTTGTGGATAATAAGAAAATACAAATAACTCTCGAGCTTACTTTATTTCTTACTTTTTAAATAAGAACATGTATTTGTTTTGGTGAAAAAGTACTATTGAAAAGCGAGAAGAAAAAAAATTATATATCTCTAAGCGCAAAAAAGAATTGCTTGTATCTGGATTTACTCTCTTCTTTAAGCTTAATTATATGTATATATTACTTGTAGATTAAAATATATTATCCATAAATAGTTATCATACATGTCTTTTTTGGCTTTTGCTTTCAAGAAAAAAAATATGTGATAAAAATATGTGTTTTATTTACGAAAAAATACTTCAAGAAAACGTTTTCAAATAATGTCTATTGTTTTTTACCTCTTGAGAGCATCCTCATTTGTGCCTGCGTTTTCAACTGGTTTGTGGAGTCCCGTCTCCAAATTCACCCTTGAAACTGGTTTCTTCAGTAGATTTTCACCTATTTTTACCAGTTTTTCCAAGTTGGCCTTCGTCGCAACATCAACTGAAGCTTCTGTACCAGTCAATGTGTCTTCCTGGTTTTGCAAGCAATATATTAGTATGTGTTATAACAAACTGTTAACCACCTAATCAAACAATACATGGATGGAAGATGACCCGTTTACTTTTGGTGGGATTTCAAAACTATATTTGCATCGCGACGAGTTGAGACGGTAGTTAGCGTTTAAATCATTTAGACACAAATTTCATCATTCAACCACCAAAGTGGCATAATCAGTGATTAGAGAATTAAAGTACATTTTGTATATACTTTAGAGACGAAAAATATATTTAATTTGTAAAATTAGAATTAAATTCAATGAGATTGTATGTAAGCTTACTTGAATTCGAAGGTAATTTTCTTCTGAATGAAGTGCTTGGAAAACCACAGAATTGTGAAAATCAACCATATCTCCACTTGATTGAGTAAACACATCCACCAATGGAGTCGAACCTCCATGAATTAACCAGCCTAGAACTCCCCATTTGGCAGCCATTTTACCATTGTATTTCTGTTCAATCTTTGCTGCCCCTGTGCCAATTGAAATTACTAGATATCGAGCATAGTCCATGGGCTTGATGGGAAAGAAGTCTGGATTGTTCTCAATGACCTGTTTTGTCACTTCGCTAATGGCAACCAAAGTCTGAAAGCATTTCATCAAGAAATAAACAACGATATTAAATTCAGATTCTTTTTTTTTTTTTTTGCAGTTTATTACTAATATTAGATTTGTCACGTCGAATCCATGTGCAATTCTTACATAGACATATAGGGATGGAACGAGTTAGTACTAGCATCCATAATTTGAGGTCGTGACTTGATTGAACGAGTTAGTATATACATTCTAAATGAAGTTATCAAATATTGTATACCAAATGATGTGACGAAACCTCTACAATATTGAATGTGTAGTGGGAGTAAGTGAGACCGAATACTCCAATCACTCATACTGGTTTGGTATACAAAATTTAAGTAAACAATTTGATAAGTATAGCAATGCTCGTGAAAACGTGGTGCTTTTAACAAGTCGAGGAGAAGTCATGCTCCTTAGACCACTAACATATTTCCATCCATAAATGGATGCACGAGTGAAAGGAGATTCTGAATACATACACACATTCATTTTCACTCTTGATATTTGATTTTTGATTTGTGGTCGCTAATTTTAAGGGTGTCATCTACATTTTGTGGATTCATTAAGGGAGAAAAAGGCATCTTCTACAATTTGTCAAACTGTAGGTCCCAGTGTTAAAGATAAATATGTAATTGTAAGTGGAATGCTATCTTATACATAATTTAATTCTTACCGGATTATTTGCAGCAACACCCCCATCAATAAGATTATATTCTCGAACATTCCCTTTGTTATCTTGGGTCTTGAAGTAATGGGCTGGAAGGTAGGTTGGAGCTGCAGAAGTACTTATGCAAATATCGGATAATTGAGCATCCAAACATGAAGAGCCTTTTACCTGCATGGATCAGACATAATTCTTTAACCCCTATTACTTTACCATGTATTATAGTTTGCCCTACTTAAATATGCAAAAATAAGTTTAACACTAATTTCTGAAATTATAACTGATGCCCTAAGGTTAGAGAATACAATCTCCAACTAAGGGTTATTAAGGGGCCCCGGCTGCCAGCCAATCCCCGATGCCCACCCATTGATTGGTCCTACTGACATTGTTGTGGTCGAAAAAAATGAGTAATGTTAGATAAACTTAAAAGTTATACTTGATAATCTCAATTATTGAATAGGTAATGAATTCCAATAAATGTTGGAACATACAGTAAAATCAACGGTCGTAATTATAAAGTATAATTTTTAAATCTACTTTTTAAATCATGTAATATTGCTCGGAAAAAATATTAGAGTAAATATTGGGTGTAATGGTGACAACACGTCATTATTGACATCTAATGTCAAAATCCAGTAATAAACCCATTAAAAGCAATGTTATTAGGACATAATGGGTTATCACTAATTGATTTCCCAATAACAGTAGTGTATTATTAAATGTTGGCACTCGGTGTACTTTGACTGAAGACCTTCAAAGTTCAAACGTGTCAAATTTCAATTTTTCTGGGTCCACCACATGACTCCGCAGTACATGTGAAAGTCATAATTAGTTACCAAAAACCAGAAGGCTTTTCAAGTTCTCAAATATACAACTACAAACAGTCAGTAAGACAATAGACAAATAATTCTGGGTGATAATAGTCTACCTGCATAACAACCACAGGAAAATATTGCGTGTGTGTGTGTGAGAGAGAGAGAGAGAGAGAGACCTGATAAGTGGAGAAAATGGTTGGCTGCAAGTCTTTGATATCAAAAGTTGGAATGACAACATTGGCGAGTGTACGACTTAATCGGATATCTCCCAGCTTCTCCCTTACAAGCCCATGAAGATACTTCCCATCATATTTGGGTCCTCTTAATGTTTTTAACGTTTTTCCAATGGATTTAAACAAGCCACTGACATTCAAACCACAAAGATATGGTTACTACTTAATTACATGATCAAGAGCTAAAGAAAATGAATCATTAGCTTAAGATATTCATACCTTTTCTGTGGGAAAATCTTGGGACCGTGCTCTAGGTAAAAAGGTTTGATGTCTTTGGCTGCATAGAGAGGACGGTTGTTTTCATCGGGTGCAGTTAACATGGCTGTCACAAGACCACCGGTGCTTGTTCCGGCAATCACGTCGAAGTAATCTGCAAGTCTTGCCTCCTCCCCATCCAGCTCCTATGCCAAAAAAAATTTCTCCCTATTAAAACACATACTACTGACCGAAAGGAAATCAGTTGTGATTTGTGAACCCATGTGTATAAGTTGTACTATATTTGGTTTGTCATGAGTTAATTGCATTTATATACCTATTCTGTTGTGTTATGAGAGCTTCTTTCGTTTCATAGACAAGTCGAGATCGAGCAATTCGTTGATATCGCTCTATAGGCTCAGTAAGATAGACGTGTTTTGAATTTTACTGTAATATCCTCATTTTTCTAGAATAAAATCAATTAACCTACTAAAAAAGACCGAAAGGAAATTATATTTTTACCTGGAGTTGAGCCTCGAGGTAGGCAAGAATAGTGGCAGGAATAATCCCCCTGATTCCACCTCCATCTATGCTGAGGATGGTGATTAGGTTTCCATAAGTTGGTGCCTGAATTTGAAGAAGGGAGGATTTTCTTCTCTCCATCTCGAGTTATCAATTACTTGTTGAATCTTGTGAATTGCCTCTAAAAACTTTTATTGGTGAAAAGAAATGTGAATGAAAGATCCAATTACCTATAGAATAGGAAACTGGGAAAGAAAAAATCTACCAAAAATGAGAGTGCACTGTGGAGGGAGTAGTGGATGAGGAAAGCAAGAAGAGAGAGAAAGTTGTAGGGTGCTGATTTAGATGCAGAATGGTCCATTTATAGGCCTCAAACTGAGAGAAACTTTGATGTAATATCTTGTGTTGATCTGCTAGTAAAGTTTGAATTCTGCACAGTTCGTGGAGCGTTGGGTCAGAGACGTCGTTGCGGGGTGGAAACATCCAAATGTGAAATTGGCGTTAAAATGGTCAACACTTCAATCTCTTTATTGGACTGCATAACTTTCAACGCCAAGTTTAGAAAAAAGCAAGACTTTTCTTGCTTGCAGGAAACTTGCTTACAAGTGTTACGACAACGAGTTCATTAGGCCGTCATGACATAGTATCTCTGACAATGTCAATGTCAATGAATCGTAGTATTTCTGTCAATGTGATTGGATCATATTAAAATCGGACTAATTCTTAGTTGGATCAAATTTAAAAGTTTCCATCTAAATCTTTGCATTTAAATCTCCGATGCATTTCATTTTTAAAATTCATATCCAAATTCATTAAAATAAAAAAATCTAATTCCGATAACTCAAATGAAATTTTAAAAAATTATATGGAATTCTCAACAACACTGTATTAAACAATTAATTAATTTCATCACAAAATTATAATATTATTCAGATCAGATAGAGATCAGAGTTAATTATTCAATTATCTATATTCAAAATTTGAATTTAAAAATATAAATATAAATTCAAATTCGATTTAAGCATGATCTACTTACGTGCCAAAAGTTTTGCTGCATGAACTTGCATGTTGCTCGTCAAAGAGGGCTCCTGGCGGCTTTCATTATTTTTTTTGGGTACATTTGGAAGGAAAGTACTGGTGGCTGTGTTTTTTTTTTTTTAATTTTGGAAAGTGCCGGCGGCTTTCAAGTGTAAGAAGCTCTGCCTTGTAATGTTAGGTTACCAAACTCCGCTGTTAATTCTAAACATCATCACACACACACACACACACACACACACACACACACACACACACACACACACACACACACACACACACACACACACACACACACACACACACACACACACACACGAAATCGATACAAATTAAATAAGTTTGATGTAGAAGTGAATTTTTGATGATAAATAATTAGACTCATTATAACTACTTAATAAACAGGTTAACATGAAAACATGGTATCTTCGTTGTATTATAAATCTTATTGAATACCATGAATGGTAGTTGATGACAAGTTAAAATATTAGGTTTGAATATTGCCAAACAAACTCGGTAAATAATCCTACTGTTTTTATGAGTGATGTAATGTTAATTGCACTTAAAAAATTGACTGATTTATTGATTTGATGATATGGTAATTACGCACATAACCTAATATAAGTTAAAGAAATGGTAACCAAATACGTGCCATTAATAACCTTCAGCCACATACTATAACTTCAGGACTTTTATTTATTATTGTCATTTGTAAACAAGGAAAAAAATTCAGAGATAAAATGCATTAAAAAGTATATCCAACAGAGGGTTGGCAAGACAAACAATAAATAAAATTACAATCCTTCTTTAAAAAAAAAAAGAGAGAAGAACAACACCAATGCAACAATTGCTTGTCCTAGTTTAAGCCTGGTATGAGCATGGTGATTTTAGTTGTCTAAGCTTCCGTTCATCTCAGAGCAATTTCGCAAACCTGCAAGAGACAGGAAGAGACTGATTAATAATACATTAACAAATTTTGAGAACAACTGGGGCATCCGATATCATTCCAAAAGTTGTGACTCTATAAAGATAAGTTATAATCTAATGAGGGTCTAGTCACCATTTAAAAAAGTTGATATAAATCTTAAAATGTTAAGATCGATCATTGAAATTTTGTTGGATTAAATCAAAACTTGCGGTGTGAATTCAAAAATTAACCCTTCAATACCATCCATCGTCCACTTTCTCTCCATTTTTTGGCATCCAAACCAAATCGAATGACAAAAAAATTGATTGGTTGTCTCCATACCTTTTCAGAGCATCCTTATTTGTGCCACCATTTTTGACTAGTTCAGAAAGACCAATTTCCAAGTTTACCCTCGAAACTGGTTTCTTCAACAACGTCTCTCCAATCTCCACAATTCTGTTCAAGTTCTCCTCTGTAGCAACATCAACGGAGGAGTCTGTCCCAATTAAGGAGTCCTCCTGGCATTACATTCAATAGATCATCAGTGTCATATAAAAACTGAAAGCGCACTTAGTTCCCATATAGGTGGAATCAAAATTCTCCTATTACACTTTCACTCAATGGTAAATCACACATTATGCTTAAGATAAAAAAAACCCTGATATTAGCTTATTTATTAAAAAAATAGTTGGCAAGGGAAATATGATATTAGCTTACTTGAATTCGAAGGTAGTTTTCTTCGGAATGAAGAGCTCGAAAAACCACAGAAATATGGAAATCAACCATATCAGCACTTGCTTGAGTGAAAACATCCACCAACGGACTGGAACCGCCGTGAAGTAACCAACTAAAAACACCCCATTTGGCTGCCATTTTCGCACTGTATTTCTGTTCCACCTTTGCAGAGCCAGTGCCTACTAAGATCACTAGAAAGCGTCCATAGTCCATGGGCTTAATCGGGAAGAAATCTGGACTTCCACTAAAGGCCTTTTTGGTTATCTGGCATATGGCAACTAAAGCCTACAAAACATGGTACCCAAAAAAATAAAATCGTATGAAAGTGGGGTTAATTCAATGTTCTATATTTCATAGATATATACTTTGGGTGACTATATTATTCAAATCTGTCGGGATGTTAGAGGTATATAGTTACCTAGTATCTTAGGTTGTTACTTGTAAGAGTATCTTCTAATAAATTATATTATTTTGTCTCAATCAGTAGCTCTCTTGTAAGTATCCCGTGGAAAGTAATCTTCGGGTATGTCTTGAACAATATTGTCTATCCATGCCTTTTTGTTTTTTCCAAAATATTATTTTCATTCAGTAAAGAAAATATGGACCCACTACCTATTCAATGGTTGAGATTATCAAGTCTAATTTTTAAGTGTAATTTTTAAGTTCATCTAGCATTACTCATCAGATAATCGAGCATCCGGTAAGGGGGATTCTTCCACCTGCATCAACATAAAAATATAAGGATATATGATAAGCATAGAGAGAGAGAGAGAGAGAGAGAGAGATCTCATAAGTGGAGAAAATAATTGGCTGCAAATTCTTGACATCGAAAGTTGGGATGACAACATTGGTTAAAGTTTGATGTAATCGACAGTCTCCTAGTTTCTCCCTTACAACTTTGTGAAGATACTTGCCATCGTACTTGGGTCCAGCTAATAAATTCAACGTGTTTCTAAGTGATGTAAACATGCCCCTGCCACATTGCAACAATATGTATTCATGATTAGATAGATACAAATAAAAGCAAGATCGATCACAGGCAAAATACCAACTAATTAATTCCAAGTTTTCATGCAACAAAAACAATACGTTTTTGAAAAACTGGAAGCAAGAAAAACATTTCCTGCTTACCTTTTCTGTGGGAAAATCTTAGGGCTGTGTTCAAGATAAAAAGGCTTAATGTCTTTAGCGGCAAATAAAGGACGATTGTTTTCATTTGGAGCTGTTAACATGGCAGTTACAAGACCACCGGTGCTTGTTCCTGCAATCACGTCAAAGTAATCTGCAAGTCTAGCATCCTTACCATTCAACTCCTGATCACATCAAAATTACAATATTTAGAGTCAGGTAATCTTTCCACACTACATTTTTTTGGTATTTATGAGGGAACTCCATGGGGCTGCAAAATTTTAAGGCACATTGAGATTTCAAAACTCGACTCATAATTAAAGTACTCCACACACACACACGACTTTCATAAATCATGAATGCAGAGCTCTCTCTCTCTCTCTCTCTCTCTCTCTCTCTCTCTCTCTCTCTTTCTCACACACACACACACTCAATTCTATCAGCAAAAAATAAGACTAACCTGAAGTTGGGATTCAAGGTAAGCAAGGACAGTGCCAGGAATGATGCCTCTTATACCGCCTCCATCAATGCTGAGAATGGTGATTAGCTTTCCATAAGTTGGGGCCTGGATTTGAAGTTGAGATGGACCACCTTCATTTTGAAACTAAAGGTAATGTATTGTTTTTCGTCTACAAGTTCAGAGAGCTCAAGCTTTCGTTGTTTGGTTTTCCAACAAAGTTAATCTATTTATAGCCCTCAATAAGCATCCAAGAAACTTCCCTGCAATCTCTTTGATTGGCTATATGGTGAGTATGGATAAATGTTGAAAACCTGCAGATACATTAAGCATAATCTAAGCTGCCGTGGACATCCTTCATTCCAAACATCACCTTAGACTTTTTTTTGATATTTTTCTTTATCACAATAAGAAGATAGCAACGCCCCCCCCACCCCCACCCCCTCCTCCCCCCTCTCTTCCTATTTTACTAAAACCCTTGGCTGAAAAGTTGTATAGCCCGCCAACCCCAAAAAATATTATATAGATATCATTATAAGGTAGAATCATTTGGTTATTTATTCCACGGGATTTTTGGTGAGAGAAAATGCTCAGATTGGCCAACAAAGAAGAATATCGGATTGGATGATTGAACAACGAACAATCATTCTTGCATTACTCTTCTTCCTTAGCAATTACAAATCTTCTTATCCAAACTATTTATCTTTTATCCACGTACCTTTTGCTACCAAACAAGGTGTAGCTGCGATCAAAGTGAAACGACAATAAGAGATAAGTTGGATTTTATTTTATTTTTTCAGGTTTGGTATATATGTACTTCTTCCGGTTTAATAAATTACTTACCCAGAAAAAAAAAAACTTGTGTCCGAAAATATGGAAAATAGGTGGGAGGGGGGGAGCATACTGACACTGAGTAGCGGCCAAATCTGTGACAGTTAGAGTCACGCAATTCACAATATTAAACTGCAATAAGGTGTTTTTATCTCTGCTATTTGTTTAACCCTTGAATAAACCATGTAGTGATGAGTCGTTTACGCTGATCGAATCATACGGCACTAAATCATATAATACACCAGGTAACAATGAAATTTACTTGTTTTAAGAAACCAGTAAGAATGTCTGTGCAGAGAACCAATCATATATTATGCGCAAAAATAACTGTTTTAGACACCTAACCATTCATGTGATACTTTATATAACACATTGTTTAATGTTTTCAATGTATTTTGCATGAAAGAAATTGTAAGCGACGTGCAGATCTGATCAACTTGATAACATCGATAAGCTTAATTAATTAGTAAAACACACCCGATTTAAACGTTTTTTTTTTAAGTTTATATTCTTAATTATAGAGAACAACGGGATGATAGGACTAAGAATGGTATCAGATAAGTGAAAGAAACAAATTTGTAAGTAAAAATGAACGAAATCTAATCAAAATTTTAAATTTGTTTTATACACGTGTTAAATCTAAGCATTGTGTTACTCAACTTGAGTTCGCTAGGTGCAACTTGCATTGGCTTTCTTAGGCTGCAATCGGTTACTGTCTATAAATAATTTTAACTTTTTACTCCAATTTATTTCCAATTTGCTCAATTGATATCCAATATGTGTACTTTTTGATTCATTCTCTTCTCTAATAATTAGGAGTGCAACTTGAGTGGGTTGAGAGGTCTACCCTATCCTAACCCTAAATATATAATCTTCAATTTTAATCCTAACTCTAACCCTACCTCAACTCGAATACTGCCCGAATTTAATTCAGGCGAGTTCGAGTTACTTAATTCCAGCTGATTTCGGGTTTAAAATTGAATTGACTTGAGTTACTTAATTCGGGTTAATTTTTTAATGTGTAGATTTAATTTTTTTCAAGTGTAAATCTAATTTTTTCAAATGATCTGAGATGAAGAATGAAGAGATAGGGAGTGAGAGAAGGAGGCTGAGAGTCTAAGACGACTCAGACAAGTGACGATTGAGAGAGGAAGGAGTGACGAATGAGAGAAGGATTTGAGAGTGATGAAGACGCATGGAAGAAGACTTGAAGTGAAGTTAAAATTTTGATTCTAAAGAGTGAAGATAAATACTAACCATAATTAAATATATTTATATATTTATGTATATTCAGGTTCTACCCGATTTAATAATCAAGTTCAACCCTATTTTAATATTCGGATTGAACCCTACAACTCGAAGCCTTAACTCCATGTTTGTCCAAATTCAATTTGGGTTGAAATTTTTTTGTCCAGGCCCAACCTAAGAATTAAAAATTCTAACCCAAGTTTTGTTTTTTCGAGTTGAATTCCAATTGGCCCTCCCAAGTTGCATCCCTGCTAATAATAGGTAAATGTCGCTATAGGAATTTCTTTCTTGAAACCACACATTGAATATAGGGACTCTTGTGTTCCTTAAAACAACTCCACTTTTATGAAAACAAGTTGAAAAAGTTCCATAACTGTTCCCATGGTTCTTAACTACATCAAATAGATTTTTTAGAATTTGCACTTAATTACAAGGTTTGATCTTATAATTGATAAGCTCAAGTTCGTTTCAAATGCTCCTAAACTTTTGCCAAATTAAGCTTCCTACTAAAATTCTAAGGTGGCTAGTTGAATTCCTTTTTTTGTTTTTTAAGTTCAACGATAAGGTATATTCGGACTACCTAATGCGTACTTTGACTAATATTTTCTCCTGTTCAATTAAAAATAAGTCATCAACGCCAGAACTATGGTATTCATGAGAGATAAATTTCTTGTAGTTTGATCCCAAAGAATTATCAATATTTAAATTCAGGACGTCTAATTTTATAATTCGCACTAATTGAATTCTGCTCAAGCTAAATCAGTCAAAACTCAACCAAATTTGAGCATACTCTAACTCGGCAAACTCACTTCGACTACTATTCCTCCTATACGAGTCATGGGCCTATACATGACCGCCTCAGTATGGCTCCCAACATCGTGTACGGTACGGCCCATATTCAAGGGTGTTGTGTTGTTGTAGTTGTTGTCTATAAGAAAGGGTTACAAGCACACTTGGGAAATTGACCTTGGAGATGTTCGTGTTCTTCAACAACTTTACCAATAGCCAGTATTTTGAGGTCAAGGGTTAGAAGTCGGTTTAATGGTCACAGCTCTCATTATTAGATATTAAAGTTATAAATTTAAACCTCGTCGTCCAACTGTTATTGACAATGAATTAAAGTGTTAAATTCAAATCACGTAAAAGACATTACAGTTGATTCAATGCGCATGATTACATGAATTGCAACTAATTTTGTGTTTCTTGATTTTTCATAATTGCTAAATATCAAAGAGAGTGTGATTGAGATAGTTCTAGATTATTAAAAAAATTATAGAAAATATTATTTAATGATGCACAAATGGAATTACTGAATAGTGGGGGAACACTGAAATGGGAAAAAAAAAATAGTTGGCCAGCACGTCCTTCAAAAAGTATGTAGAGTAATGACCTAAGATTCAAAGGAGCCCAATTCAAAAAGGAGACCAGAATGTTTAGATTCTATTGGTTCGAATTGGCGATTTTAAAGTTCAATAATAATTCGGTAGTTATTAATTTAATCGTTAATCTTTAAATTATTTAATAATCGGTGTAAGATTACTATGTTTATGTTTGACATTTGGCAACTGATACGGGTTTTTCATATTTATTTCGACATAAATCATAGAGACAAGACAATAGGGTATGAATTGTTTGAAGTGGAATCAAATTTAAAAAAAATGAGTATGATTTTTTGGCCTGGTATCAAATAAATTTTTAATGGAAAAATAAGATTTATTAAAAAAATTCTTTTTCGTTTTAGTGGGAAAAAATAAAGCTTGCAAAATATCCTTAATATTTTAGAAAATTAAAAGCACCTGTTGCAATTGGAATTTTGTGGAGGAGTGAAAAGACGGCCCTTTTTTCCTTTTATTTTATTTTGGATGTTAACTATAAACGAAGTGTACTTTTTGTATATGAATCTTCTTCAATTAATATTAATTATCTTATTTAGCTAAAAAAATAAATAAAAAGTTGAATGGGCATAAATAAAGTGAGAGAGAATTAAACTCAGATCTCTTAAAATTTATCATTTAATCATTCAGACCCCTTAATCTTAAAAATATTACACACAGACCTTTTAAAGTTTGTACGCACATAACACTTAGATTCATGTTGTCAATGTCCATTAGCACATCAGTTAATAAATTACACTCAGACCTCCCGAAGTTTATAGATATGTAATATTTAGACTTTTCAAGTTTAAAATATTATATTTAGATAAAAAAATATTTCAATAAAAGATAGAATATCAAATATTTTAAATTTTACAATCAAAATTCATATTCTATTATGACATTTATTAAAATAAAATCAAAAATAAAAATCTAATTTTTTCTTAAAAAATATAATTAATATACAATTATACCATCTATTACACAACTTAATTTGGTCATTTAAACAACAAAATTAAACTACTAAATTACCTCAATTTAGCTAAAAGAAATTGTGTCTATTATATTTGACCGCTTGTTTAATTTTTTTTGTTTTATTTCAATAGATAATATGATTGTGTATTAATTATGATCTTTTAAGAAAAAAATTAGATTTTTATTTTTGATTATATTCAAATTAATGACATAATAGAATATAAATTTTTGTTATAAAATTCATGTTCTACTATGAATGACTTAGACCCCTTATTTTTTTTATTTAATTCCAATAGATAGTATACTAATTACGATTTTTAAGAAAAAAATAGATTTTTAATTTTAATTTTATTTTAATAAATGATATAATAGAACATGAATTTTTGTTATAAAATTGAAAATATTTGATATTTTATCTTTGATTGATGTATTTTTTGTTTAGGTGTAACATTTTAAATTTGAGGGGTATAAGTATTATACGTCTATAAACTTCAAAGGGTTTAGGTGTAAATTACTGTCAGATATACTAATGGACATTGAAGGGAGGAGTGTAAGTATTCCGCATGTACAAATTTTAAGAAATTTGTGTATAATATTTTAAATATTAAAGAGTCTGAGTAATTAAGTGACAAAGTTCACAAAGGCCGGATGAAATTCTCTCATAAAATAATTAAGAAATAAAAAAAGAAGACAGCTGACGAAGAGGTGACGAAGAGGTAGTCTGAGAAAGTTGAAGAGGACACGAAGACAACTCTTACGAGCAAAAGCTCAGAGGGTGAGAGATAACAGCCAATGCCAATGTCAATGCCCCCTTCACTACTTTCTTTCTTGAAACATGGCCGAGGAAATATGTTCCTTAAAAAAGGTGTGCTTTTCATAACTTATGGTCTCTCTCACTTTCCCATTTTGGGTTTTGTTCTTTACCTTTACCATTCAATTTCAGTTCTGTAGTTGTGTGTTCCTTTTCTTTCTTTTTCCCTTTCGATAGAATTTGTTTTCTTTGGATAGTATGAACCATTAATGGGTAGCTACATATAAAGGTTACGTCTTGTTTTCCTCTCAATTATGTGCATGCCCTGATTTGATTTTTTCAATGAAAGAAGCTCACTCTGACCATTTCTTTGCCTTATTTTTCTCTGCATATTTAAACAGAATTACACCCAAAAGCTCATTTTTCCTTTTCTTTTTCACCATTGATTTTCTTCCTTTTTTTTCCCCTTTTTGATGGAGGTTTTAAGATGGTTTCCACAGGTTAGCTCCTCTATGTAACACTTACTGTTTTCTGCAAGATTTTTTTGTCCAATTTCTTTATGTCATTTTCTTATCACAGAGCCATAATTTTGTTTTTTTGATATTTTTTACTGGAAAATAACATCTGGGTAACATTCACTACATACTTTTTGCTGGGTAACATTCACTACATACTTTTTGCTGTGGTCTGTGCAGTGTATATTTTCTCTATTTGTTTAAAGCAAACAACTAATTCCACAAAAAATACTAAGTTTCTAGAGATTCAAGTGATTGACCAACCTTGTCACGCTTCTGGGATAGAACAATGGGAAATTCCTTATGTGCATTTCCCAAAACCCAAAACCTTTAGCAGGTAACTGAAAAAATTAAAAAAAAAACAATTATTGGGTTTGGTTCAATTTGGAGTAATTAAAATAGATGTGAGTGATGGATTTGCAGGGAGGAATGCGTCTGCAATCCGGTTTGGAATTTCGCCATCTTGTCGATGCAGAGATCTGGGAGTGGATGGTTTGAGACTTTGTTAAATAGTCATATAAACATTAGCTCGAATGGTGAAATATTTTCTGTCAAAGAGAGGAGAAGCAATGTTTCTGTGATGCAAAGCACAATGGATAAAGTTTACAACCTCGATTGGTTCACTAGTGCTTCTAAGAACGAGTGCTCCGGGGCAGTTGGGCTGAAATGGATGCTCAATCAGGTGAGTAGAGTAGCATGGTAGAATCTAGTTTATATATTGGATGCTGTATATATAATTTTATGTATTATCATGCAATTATTGGGCAAAGCTTCCCCCTCATGTAGTCATCGGCCTTCCCAAGCCCTCCCTTTGTTGCGCCTCACCGCAGGCAAATTACCAAGCACTTCATTGCCAGTAGTAGTGAAGAAAAAACCATCCCACCCAAAAACAAGTCGGAGCTAAAGAGAAGAGAGTTCAATCTACAAGAAGCTGGCAGATGGCTTATTATTAGATAAAACAAGCGAGAAAATGGAAGGGTGCTAGCTGCAATCAAACTAGAGTGCTAATGAGCAAAGGTTTTCGCACAAATTGCTTAATCCGTTACTTCTTGCTTTCGAGCTCAAGCCTACATTTGCTTAGTAAGCTTGAGCGCATTAATCTCTCCTCGATAAAAAGGTGAAATCCGTAACACTAATGCTACAGATCAATATAAAGGTAAATTATTTCTGTTTATTCCATAGCCTCGCCTTCTTTCTTTTCTGGTGGAAATGCAACAAACAAATAAAGGAATCAAGGGTTTCAAAGCTTATTCTATAGTCAAAATCTGTGTGGTGTCAAATCAAAAAGATGGTTGGCGACCTATAAAGGAAATATGACGGCAAGCAATAAACAAACTTTGTATTAGTTTGCAAGCATTAAGGCAAGGATAATGAAATCTTGAGATTTTGGTGCGTCTTCGGGTGAATTTTTGTTTTGTGATCGTGTTGCCCCTGAATATTACATGACATTTTTTTCCCTTTCAATCGCTGAAATCACGAAACATGGAAGCTGCTCAATTTAAATTGTTGGTAATATGTTTGTCAGGGCTTGATGGAGCAGCACAAAGATATAGTAGACTACTTCAAAACAAGAGGTGTCTCTGCAATATTTCTCTTACGAAGGAATCTGCTTCGCAGAATGATATCTGTGCTTGCTAATTCTTATGATAAGGATGCTAAGCTATTGAATGGAACCCACGTGTCGCATGTGCATTCCTCACACGAGGTTCTCTCTCTCTCTCTCTCTCTCTCTCTCTCTCTCTCTCTCCTCGTAACCACGTGTAGATTTCCTACAGGCTCAAATACTTGCAAGATACAAGCCTAGAGTCAATGTCACATTACTCATACCTAATCCGAAGGAAGCGGAGGAAACAACTTCCAAGGCTTTGGAATACTTTAAGAGCACTCGACACATTGTTCTTTACTGTGAGGATATTCTTAGAAATGGCCCTGTAAGACCTAAACACCATTGTGATGTTTTGAACAACTGTTCCAGTTCTCAAATCTCAGTTTGTTGTACAATTTCCTGCGGAAACTCGTGGAAGTTCAGGAATTCTTAAGGTTGCCATATAGAGACCTTAGAAGTAGACAGGTGAAGATACACAGTGGCCCTTTATCAAAACATATTAAAAATTGGGATGATGTTCAGAAAGCAGTCAAGGGTACTTCATATGAGAGCTTCCTCCATGCAGACTACTAATTCTTGTTTTGCTCAGGGCCAATTCCAATTCAAAATCAGTTTGAATGTGACAGATATCGAGCCATTGCTCACTTTCCTGGTCTTAATTTAGATGATACATTAT